CTGTGTAGTGCGAGTGCCTTGTTGCCTGGGAAATAAATGCAAAGTGAAGTGAGTATAGATGCGTACTGACCATTCACGGTGCTGCCTCTTTCCACAGGAAGTGGCGCATATGCACTTGCTATTTCGAAACGCTTGGGAATGCGCTTTCTGTAGAACAATGGAGTCAAATATGCATACAGTAGGAATATATAAGTCTTGCCTACTAGTGATCTATTTGTGCGTCGCGACACACAGGCCCCGAACCGCCTGTTCACCGTCTCATCGGAAGGCGCAGATGTCCTGCAGATGACGTTGGGAGGCAATGAACATCTCTAGCAGTGGCTAGTATGTTAAAAGGTTTCCAATTGAATGTAATAGTGTCCTGCAAAGTGTTTCAAAATTTCCAACTAAATTCAATGGGGTCCGGGAAGGAATTCCAGGGACCAGGGAACTTCCTCCTGCACAGTGCTGCTGCTCTCGAAAGCTGAGCCTGCTTGTTACGACAGCCTTCAGCGCTGCCTACCGTGTTGCGCATAACAACTTTATTGAAGCGTTCGTTGGAATACTTTTAAAGCCCAAGATATGCGAATTATGCGGCTGTGGCATTTTGAGGAACAGGAAACGCTCCATTTTCTCTTGAGCTGTGAACGCTGCCGTCGTGGTCAGCCCCAAACACTCTCCCGATCACCGTCGTCCGTGTAGCAGTGGAGCACTCCGGTTCATAAATACATGCGCACATAAAAAAATGAAATTGAGCCTTCAAATGTTTTAAGGCGCTTTTGCGCTTAGCATTTGGCTTTTTCCATATATTTTTGGGGCTAGAGGGGCGCCCAGAACTCAAGCTTGTTTTTTCACGGTCAGACGTCCAGGAGGGCGGCGGCGGTGTTGCCGGTTGGTAGAACCTGACGACAACTACTGCATAAAAGTTCCTCTTTAGAGAGCTCGTCGACGTGTGACCTTCTACACAGGTGTGGATCAGGTTCTAGGGTTTTTATTGCGTGCTGCACAGGGTTTGGGGCTAGGCGGGAATCGTTGCCGGTCTCCATCTGTATGCCGTGGACGTCTGCCTGCTCTTGCTTCAAACACCAATACTTAGACTGCAAACGCCACTTTCTTTTTTTCAGGTCGAACTACTAGTTGCCGCATGGTCAAGACATTAGAGTCCCACGGAGAATTGCATCCGAATCCAGCAATTTGAAACAGTGTACGCAAAGGAAGCTCACACTAGCCAACGACGATGGCGCGAAAGCAAAAGCCCAGACTTCCATCTCCAGGGGAGGTTTTGTATCCTTTGGATGGGAACCCTGAAAAGGCCACCGTTGTAAATCCCAAAGGGTTAAATCTCACAGTCTATGTTTGGCGGGTGCAGCAGCCTAAAGCAGCAGTGCTGTTTATTCACGGTGTGCAGACGCACGCGAGGTTCGAGTTCCTTAGACACCTCTCTCCAGAGGAGCCGGACATCCCTGTAACGACTGCAGGAGCAGCGGCAACGGCAGAAACGGCAACTGCGGTGGTAGCAAGGGAGTCAGTGGGGTCCAAACACGGCGGACAGCAGTACCGTCGTTGGTGTATATACGAGGGTAGCTGGATACAACAGCTGAACAGGGCGGGCTGTTCTGTGTATGGAGGGGACCTCGAGAGTTTTGGCCTCTCTGAAGGATGGAAGGGGCGTCGTTGCAGCGTTGAACGCCTCGACGACTTGGGTTGTGATGTAATAACATTTGCTGAGTTTGTTGCTGAAGATCTAACAAAGCAGCATCAACGCAACAATAATCATAGTGACAGTCCTATGCTTCCCCCCATCTGTCTCGTGGGTATTTCTATGGGTGGGTTTTCTGTCATCCGAGCACTTGAACTCATGGGTGAGAGAAAGCATTGGCTGCTTCTGCCTGCTAAACTTCCTGCCTCTGGTGTTCCCAATGCCGTTGCATACCATGATAAAGCAGAAGGGGATGCAGCAGAGGGAGCTGCGGCAGGTGGGGCTGCAGCAGATGGGTCCACTGCTCCTCCTGAAAGTACAAACGGATCTTCACATAATGCTTCTGCTTCTCCTGAACGTGCTCATATCGTGGCATGTGTTGCTTTGGCACCGATGCTGGCCATAGAGAAGGCAAGCTCTGGTGCCTTTAACAAAGCAATAGCTAAAGTAAGCGGAGTCCTCTCGAAGGTCACTCCACATATTGGCGCTGTCAAGGTACCCCCCGCACGCCTACGCTGGGTCGACGTGCAGAAAGACGAGGTAAGAAAGCATGTGTAGGACGGCTACTACAACCCGCCATAGTAACAGCGGGAACACGGCAGAAACAGAGAAATGACACGCACGCACGCGCAGACTGTCTTCACTATGGCCGCCTTCACACGTACAGGATGGGACCACCGCCCACGCAGAATTTCTCCCTGCACCCTGCCACACAGCTCAGCCTTTGCACAGTTGGGTAGCTCGCAGCTAGTTTCCTGCTCCTTCTCCGTGAATCCAGTAGCAGGTGCAGTTGCAGAACTTCCTGTGGGCCGATCTGCCTGCGATTCCTTGCATCCCCATTTTCTTAGCTACTACACCAGCTAGTTACCAAGCTGGCTAGCTACCTGCTTGAGCGGCTAGTTACAACAGGCAGAACTGCAGCTAGCTATGCAGCTGGCTACTCTGCGCGCGTGTCTTGTATACTTTGCGTATTGCGCAGGACCCGTTGGTGACCTGCCCTTTGAAGATCCCTTGCCGGATGGCAGCTGAAGTGATGGCTGCAGTCCCTCGTGTGCATGCCGAAGCCAAGAATATCCCTAGCCATCTTCGCCTTAAAATCATCCACGCGAGAGAGGACGCCATTGTAGAGCCACAAGTAAGTGCTTTGGAGCTCAGCCACACAGTAACAGCAGCTGCTGCAGAGCCCCAAGTGAAGCAGCAGCAGACGGGGTTGTCGTTAGTTTCGCCTGATAGCAATGGGGTAACTCGTTCTACTCGATCTTTCCACAAAATAGATTCGCTCCTTCCCGATGGCCAAAATCATTGCCCACCGTTGTTACTTATTGCTATGAGTGCTGTTGTCTCAGGGTAGCATTCGCTTTATCAACGAATCGGCTACGCACATCAGTGAGCGTGAGCTGCAGATCCTAGAGGGGGAGCGGGGGCACTACCTGGTCATCGAGCCCGGAAATGAAGAAGTGTTGAGCGCTATCAAAGAATGGTTTAAGCTATACTAGTAGTAAATTTTAATACTACCTACTTCTCCGAAAGATAGCTGCATGCACAAGCGCGTGCTGTTTGGGAGGGTAACGAATGCGTTTAAGATGTACTACCTACAATGTTAGCTCCAAAGTACATCCACAAGCCATGGAGAAGTACAATTTTACACGTTGAGTACGTATTTTACTGGTTGAGATTTAGATGATATCAACTGGATTCTGACCACCGGCGCTATCTTCCCCCATTTAAAGTTGAAAATTAAATCTAAATGCAGTGTAACGAATATCGGAGGCGCTACTTATTAGAGATAAACTCCCGTGTGCCAACACATATATTCAGCAATACACCGTCAATCCCACTGGGCGAAGAAAGCCGCCACGAAGCCACATCCCAAGCTCTAAGTATTTAGTGAAATATCTGCATTACACACACGCCCAAAACACTACACTGTACAGCAGAGCCACGCGAAAGCGCCTAGGCCACCAACGGCGGCTTAAGTGTAGTTTCGCCTTGATCATTTCGTTTGACGCACTATTCGAGGGTCACCGCAGCAGAAACCCGCCGTTCGACATTCCAAACACTTGCTCGCCTCCTCCTGTTGTTCTCCGTTTTTGCGTTGGTCTGTTTGTAAACGCCTACTTCTCCGTTCCGTTGTGCTTGGCCATATGTGCTGGCTGGTTAGTCCTTGCTTGTATGCATGCACTGCCCTGACTGAGTCTGCAATAACCTCCATACATGCTTCAGTGCAATGCACGACGTCTAAACATGCGCTGCAGGGCTATATGCTCTCATTTGCATCGTCGTCCGTGTAAGGGTAACTCCTTCAAAGGAAAAATGTCCCAGTGCTTGTGAACTAGCGCAGGCCCGCGAACCCCTCATCCAAGTGGGATGGTTAGGCAGTGTTAGTGCGCGCATCTGCGGGAGTGGGTCTGGACGCATGCGTCGGACTGCAGCAAACCTCTATCGCCAGCGCCCATTTGTTCTTGCGTGGGTCAACAGAGTATATACGATAGTGTATATGCTCTAAAACAGCAAATTTGGCCTCGTGACCGAGGATTAACACTCATTAGATCCAGAAGCTAGAGCTCTGGGCTGTATTTACCTGCTGCAGCAGGTCTACTGGGAAACTGTGAAATCTGGAACTGTGGGATGCACAAGAACTTTGGGAAGCTTCCAGCTGCCGATGAAGCAAAACACGTGAAACCTTTCAAATGAACAGTAATAATGATTTTTCAGGCGAATTTGTTCTTTTTAGGAAGGCGTTTCAAGTCTTTCCAAAGGGTACGCTCTAGGTCTAGCAGTTCCGATCGCAGTATGTGAATTCTCGAGATCCCTAGAAAACGCTCTACGACGTTTTCTTGTTAGCTAATAACTTGTTTTTGCCCTCATTTGAGCTTGGAATATGGCCGTTTCAAGATCCCAAGCTAGCACAATAGGCCTCGTCCAAACTTGTGTGCTACCGGTTAGCCTGCAGCCAATTGGACGGCAGCTAAAACCTCATCTACCGTTGGGGGTTGCCGCTTACTTTGCCTGGCTGATTGCATCAACCAGTAAAGTGCAGTACTGAATGTAGCAACAAGCACTTGTACTATGCTCCAAGTTCGCGGCGGCGGGAAATGCAACTCCTCAAGACTAGCAGGGGTCTTCAATCAGAGAGATTCACGGACGATAAGCGCCGCCACTGTTCAAGACTAGTTGACAGCGAAGGCATAATGAGGCGGCAGAAACTTGTGTATGCGATTGCAGGTGCCTGTCCCAGTCACCTCTGTTGCTTGCTGCCTAAAAGATAAATGGCTGTTTCCAAAACGCTCCAACGTCCGTTGGAATACACACTCATCGACTTCGGGCACTGTGGGTCAGGTGTTCAACTCCTTTGGACTGCTGATGCTGGCTAAATTAGCTTGGCAGGTCTTCTCCTGGGTGGCAGCTGCTCGCCTCCTACAGGTAACGTCGATGACAAAGGATTTCCTAAACCGCTTTCCTCCCTTTCGTGAGCTACAGCAGCACCACACACAAAAAAGCGAATATGCCGTACCTAACGGACCTAACGGACTTGTGGCCCCATAGACGGTCAGCCTTTCACTAGAAACAAAGTACCTGGTTATATCCCTGAGAAAGCTGGAAGTGATAACCCTCGGTTCAGATGTAAGTCATTCCACGAAGGGGGCATGGTAGCGTGCTACCCAGGTTTCTCCCCCCCGTCAAAGGAAACGGGAAATGGTTGTGCCTCACTATAATTTATATCAGTATGGTAAGCATAATCTGAGTGGTAAGCGTAATTTGAGCAGCTGAGGCAAGTTATACCCCGAAACGGGCTGTCTGCTCACGTGCGCAGCTGCGGAGTTCACTAGCCCCTCAAAACCCCTCCCAGTGTGGGTTTAGGCTTTACAAAACGTCTATCTGGGGATCAGTTCAAACTGCATAAGGACAAAATGAACGCATACTAGTCTTGCTCTCTGACCATTCAACTCGTTTGAGTCGAATGGTCAGAGAGTAAGACTAGTATGCGGGCCACCCTACACAGCGCGCAACCACAACCACTCTGATTGCGAACTACCGAGCAGGTGGGCAAAGATTGAGAGGACGAACTCTATACGCCTATGGACAAAGGAAATAAATCATATTTGAACAAGGGCGAATTGAGTGTACTGAGCGGAGAGCACGCCTGAGAAGTAAGTACAATGGGGATCGAGCAATGATGAATGATTATTGCAAGGGACAAAAAACTCTAGCTGTTTTCTGCACGCTCCAGCCTAATACAGCCCTGTAAAAACCGAACCACATGCCCTATGCCCTCTTTTGATTGGAACGAGCATTATGAAGAACCCAACACCTGATACAAACCCTTCTCTTACCCTCAGGAATCCAGGAAAGAGCACTGAACCGTTCTGCTACACTAGACTGGTCAGGGGTTTCATAACAAACCCTATCTTCCGAAGTACCACTTTATTTCAGAATCTGCCAAATGCAAATTTAAGACTTAGCAGGACGTATAAACGCTATTAACCACCGAAGCCTGTGCGTCACTGCAACTGAGCTGCCGTCATGCATGTGCTGAGCTAGGGAGGCAGCTACCACCCCCCCAAATATGTAATAGGGGAGTTACTTGAGAAAACATGCAAGGCGGACTTCTACATTACATACAAAAGCTGGGTTTCTGCTCTGTAAAGAGATTTCCTTTTGTGGAAGCTTCCCCAAGCTTTCCGCACGCCACACGCCCGTGCCAGCCGCACGGGATGCGTGCCATGAGGCTGCACCAATTGTTCGGTATGCGAATACAAGAACCTGACTAACGGTAAACATATGAATTAATTAATTTCTTTATTCCATGAGAGGAGGAGAAAGCGTGCTACTGTTGAAGTAGCAATTGCTGGAAACGAATTGCCCACTCGATGCTGTACGGAGACACACACGGGCTGGAGATGGCATGCGAACTAGAGGAAACCAAGGTAGTCACTTACTTTTAGAAGCACACTAGATCTTTGAAACATTGTAACGGCACATAGTGAGGAACTACTAGTTGGCGCAGCTTCGGATCAGCTACTACGTGGGAGCCCTGAGAGGGTCACAGACCTAAATCCTGGGTTTCGTAGTAGCTGCACAGACGACGTTATGGACCAGGCGACAAGTTTCCTCACGGGCCTGCCTACAAAGCACACTGGTGCAACGGGAAAGGAAAAACAGATTTTGGACAGTGCGGGGATTTCTAACACATCTTCGGTCGCCGCTCGCTTTTCCTCAAACCTCCCTTCGGCATCCGCTTACTCTGGCCCTACGTTCCATTCTACCTTTTTATCTGGAGTTGCCTCAAGTTCGTTCAAATGCCAGCTTCTTTCCGACAATGTTGTAGAAGGGGGAAGGGTTGTCTTAGCTGAGGGGAATGCAAGCAGCACGATACCGCAGGCAGACGTTCTGCGCGATCCTCCTTCTGGGTCAGTTCTCAGTGGAAACATGTCTGTAAAGGCGCGCTCAAGCGGAAGTGAGGAAGGTGTTCATGGGGGGGCACTAGTGGTTGCACTCTCAGAAACGGCCCAGACGACGGGAGCAATCGGAAAAAGGTGCGGAGAACAACAAACTTGGCAAATCAACGCGACAAAGCCGCAGGGATATATCCGCAGAAAATATGATTCCAAGTGTCCTCTTAAGTACTCGTTGGAACACTCCTCTAAGGAAGAACGGCTCCAACCTGTTCAAGTGCAAGCAATAAATTGCGAACTATTGCTACAGGACACTGCGGATTCAGCCCGTAGCACTGTCGAGAAGCGTAAAATCATGTGCTGCGATGCGGAGGAGACGTTGATATCAGCAAGTGATTCACACACCTCAACCTCAACACAGAGGAGCTCCTGTAGCACTACGCCTATTGAGCAGACGTGGAGTCAAGTGGCGAAGCGAGGGCAAAAGAAAAAAATTTGCCTGCATCCCCTCAAAACATCAACGAGGCTTTCTAACTGCCAACAAAAACTTGGAGAAGCAGCTCCACTATGCATTGCCGGGGCAAAGTTTGGTGCAATTTACAAAGGGAAACCTGACATCGTCTGCTCAAACAGTTCATTTGAAGCATCGGCTCTACTCGATTGCCAACGGCTGCACAAATTCCCTCTTTTCAAACTGGACTCAAGCTGTTGCTCTCCCTCCAGTAATTTCGAAAAGCTGGCACTGGAAGCTGGTACTGTGCATCTCTGTCCGCGTTTGCGTCCACTAACTATGGCTCAGCAACGTAGTGCCATCCAACTGCAAGGATACAGCGAGCCCGGGCCACCACATGAATTTCCCCTATTCGGGCCCCATTGCTCTGCGACAAGAAGCAATTCAACATGCTTTAATGCCAATGAAGTGCACTACCAAAGTGGCATCGGAGAGGTGGTTGCTGCGGAAAGAGCAGGGAAGCTGCCCCAGAAACCACAAAAATCGCACTCCCTTTGCCCAACTGAATTAGGCCTAGGCTTAACCCTAGCGCAGAACAACCACCGAACACTAGAGCTGTGCAACCGTCGAAAACTGAGCCGAATATGTA